CTCTCTCTCTCTCTCTCTCTCCACATAATATTCCTAAATGTTTTTCATTTAGAGGTCAAATTATTTTATTCTCTGGTCAGATCAATAATAGAATGATTATCTTCAGGCACCATGTTGTACATGAACTAAAACAGGACGATAGGAGTTTCTTACCAGAAATTCTCTGAAAGCACTGATTCCCGATACATTTTATGTCACCAATGGTGACAATGACAGATTTAAGTTTCTATTGAAGTCACTAATGAACTGAGTTTCTATGCTTAAGCACTTTGAGTAGTCCTCAAAAACATGCTCTGATATTTGGAGTATCTGTATGCCCAGTTTATAGATAAAAAACTCAATGTAAGGAGATCGACATTAACTTTACCCAAGATCCCCAAGCTGGAACTCAAAGGCCAAACCTGGTCCAAGTCAACATGAGCTCTAGGACAAACACTGCCAGCCATCTCCCGTGTGCCCTCTCCTGGAGACAATTACTATCTGACAGCTCATTCAGCAAGAACCATTTTGCTCAAAGAGGCAAGCTCTAGTTCTCTGTTTTTATGGAATTCCATAAATGTGGGGTCATGTGTGGCTACGAGTCTATGTGTTTCTCATGCTTTTTTATTTAGTTAGTTTTCTTTGGCTCTTTTGCTTATGTTTGTTTTGTCCTAGCCTGATTTGTTTTTTCTTCTCTTTTTTTTAAATTTTATTGATATTCCTAAGATGTCCATTTTGGTTTTTTTTTTCCCTAAGGAGAGACAGAAAGGGTGTGGATCCAGATGGGAGGGGAAGTGGAGGAAAATGGGAGGAGTTGGGGGAGGGGAAACCATAATCAGAATCTCTTGTATGAAAAAAAATCTATTTTCAATTAAAAAGAAAAAAAGGCCAGTTCTACAGTTTTAGACCAACATTAATATCAACACTGATCTTTCCCTATGTCTATAGTCTTAATCAGTGGTTCTCAACCTTCCTAATGCTGGGACTCTTTAACGCAGTTCCTCATGTTTGTGGTGATCACAAGCCATAGAAGTACTTTTGTTGCTACTTTATAACTGTAATGTTGCTACTGTTATGAATCGTAATGCAAATATCTGCGTTTACTGATGGTCTTAGGTGACTCTGTGAAAGGGTCATTTGACCTCCAAAGGGTTGCAAACCCTAGGTTGAGAACCACAGTTCTAAGAGTTTTCTATCCTGATAATTACCAGCAACTCACAGACTCTTGTAAATCACTCGGAACTTTCAATCACATCCCTGCTTTTACATGAAAGACCACCAGATCTACACATTCACAGCTTACATTTCAAAAGTAGATGTTCTTCAGTCTGTCCATCCTACACTCCATTCTGTTTTATGTCTTATAACGTTACAAGTAATTATTCCTCATGTGACTCCAGCTACATGGTTAGCCTCACCTAAACCACAAAGCAGGAGAAAAACCAACTATGGAGCTGACATGAAAGTTCATTATTTCCCAAGCTTCATTATGACGAATGCTGTGTTCACAGTAATGGTCACTGTGAGAGACATTACATATGCTTGCATACAAGATTCTGCAGTAATCATAACATGCAAAAGGAGATGCCAAAATCCGTATTTTATTCTATTACATTAAAATGCTACTCTATCCAAACAGCAGATGACTGGAAGAGACAGAATTTTATGTTGATTATTTTTCTGGTGCTGAAAGTAGGTCAAAGAAAAGGGATGTGTGATATAAAGAAACATGAATCAGGAAGAAAATAAAGATTTAAAAAACTAATGGGAAAATTGGTTATTGTCTGTTTTATTGCCTTGTCTCATGACATATATACAGTCCAAGGCCTGTAAGGAAAGCATACACGCACAATTTTGTAATAACAATAAAATTAATATCCAAAAAGTTCAATTTAATATCTAGTTTCCTCCCTGATGCTTGTAAAACTTTGAACAAGTTACAAAAACATTCTCTGGCTCAGTAGTTAAGGAAGCACATTATCAATGTATTCACATTATCTTGTGTGTTGTAGAAATGAATGTGCTTAATGCCATGACAAGACAGTACAGACATTAAGATCAGTGTGTGTAAATTGAATTCGAAAATTTTAGTCCTTAGGCGTATTGATAAAGTTCTTTGTTCTTAAAACGTGGAAGCGGGCTGGAGAGATGGCTCAAAGGTTAAGAGCACCGACTGCTCTTCCAGAGGTCCTGAGTTCAATTCCCAGCAACCACATGGTGGCTCACAACCATCTGTAATGAGATCTGGCGTCCTCCTATGTATAAATAATGAATAAATAAATCTTTAAAAAAAAACGTGGAAGCATTTTATATATTCGCAAAGCTCTAATTACTTTCCATATTTTCAGGTTGAGATAATGAAACTGTGAGAAATGTTATGAAGTATAAATATGCTTATGCACCACAGAATGATTTAAACAATGAATGTTTAATTGAAAGTACTATTAGCTAGAAACAGAGGAATAGCTATAGAGAATAGAGGATTTGATGAATGAAAGGTCAGCAAATACACAGAGCATCTTATTACTCCCAAAGCTGAGATACAGTACCAAAGTAAAGAAAAGCAAATTTGGGGCAGATAACCCTTTCCCCACGACTGAGATTTATCCCTTACTATAAAGGTTACAGTTCTAGTGTACAGGTCATGGGGTAGTTTAGTGAAGAACTACAGGCTGAGAGCTGCCAGCAGGAAACTATTCATTGACTGCTGAAGAGACTCCTTAGGAAGATGTCTGAGGTAGGCATTGGGAACTTACAAATGAACTGCCTGGGACACTGACAACATTTTTCAGGAAGGTAAGTGAGAGGCTGGGATAGTGATCTAGACATCCAGGAACAACAAAGACTGGCAGTAATGTATGACATATCTACATGAATAATACATACCACTCCTAACATAGCAGCTGTTCTTGGGAGTGAAGAAAGAAATAAAACCAAAGATTCATAAGTTGCTTAACATTAAATATATGTAGTACTGTAAATAGTATTGACATCCATACACTGATTCTTTACATTGTGTGTCTATAAATCTTTTACCCTATTTTAATTGAGTAATTTTTTCCATTATTATAGTTATATTGATGTATAATTAATGTAGATTGTAACAGATTTTTTAATATGATGATATTATTCTTGCTTCCTAATGAGCTGTAGATCCTACAACCCATTCTTTGCAAACAATTTGCATTCAAAAAGTTGTAAATTTTGTATGGCTCAGATAAATCACTTTTGTATTACAAATAAAAATAATTGTCAAGACTAAGATTGAGGTGTAGAGTCCAATGTCCAAAGAACTACTTGAGAAATTGGAATAGAAGACTTCTTTATACCTCTGATCTTTTTTCTGCACTGAAACATCATGCTATCTTGATAACATGAGTGATAAAATTTACTGAGCAATTAATTTTTGTTATAATTAATTACATCAATTTATAGATTTTATCATCTTAGATTAAGATAGTTGTGACCACAACTATGAATTCTTGAAAGTGTCTCATGAGGTGTGCAGAAGATGGCTCAGAAATATTAGAAGAGTTTTACCTTGAAGTTTGAGGTTCCAAATTTGAGTCTTGAGAACCAAGTAGGCATGATGGCCCTCATAAACATCATAAAGAGACAGCAGATCTGCAGGAAAAACTTTAAGAGATTCTTATTCAATGAATAGGTTAAAGGGTAACAAGGATGATTTTCTGACATCAACCTTGGGGGCCACATGCCTGAAACTATGTCATTGGATAAGATGGATTTGTCTTATATAGTTTACATAGATCCATAGAAAATAAACTCATATAATTAATCACTTGTTATTTGAAAAAGTAAAATAGCACAAGTTGCTGGATATTATTTCTTGAAAATTTTATTTTGAACTTTTTCTTTCTTTAAAAAATCTCTGACAGACTCTTGTATGTAAATTATATCATGATGGCAAGTAATTTTTCATATATCTGATTTACCAAAATACAGCAAAGCATCTTTGAAAGCCTTTTTTATTATGGGCATATGTATTGTGGTTGGTTGGTTTTGTTTGTTTGTTTGTTTGTTTTGTTTTTCCTTTGCAGGGCCTGCCACCTAGGTCCTAAATAAATACACATGGAGGCTTATGATTACTTATAAATGCCCGGCCTTAGCTTGGCTTGTTTCTAGCCAACTTTCCTTAAATTATCCCATCTACCTTTTGCCTCTGGACTTTTTCCTTTTCCTCTGTGTATCTTACTTTCACTCTTACTTTACCGCTGGTTGTGTAGCTGGGTGGCTGACCCCTGATCTCCTCCTTGATCCCCCTTGCTCTTCTTCCCTCCTCCTCCCCCCAGATTTCTCCTTCTATTGATTCTCTGTGCCTGCCAGCCCCACCTATCCTTTCTCCTGCCTCACTATTGGCCATTCAGCTCTTTATTAGATCACTCAGATGTTTTAGACAGCCAAAGTACATAAAACAATGCAAAACATCTTTGCATCATTAAACACGTTTCCCAGCACAAACAAATGTAGCACATCTTAATATTCTACAACAATGTATGGTGCATATATGTAGTGTGTGTACACATGTGGTTTGATGTTGTAAAGCTTCTTTTTATGCAGAGACCAGAAAATGATGCCTGGTATCCTGATCTATTGCACTCTAAATTACTCTATTAGATAAAGGGAAGAAATGTCTCTCACTGAATATGGAGCACAACAGAGAACCAGAATGCCGCAGCATAACACGTGTCTGCATCCCACAGTCCTGGGGTTTTAGATGTGTCCTCAGATATGCCTAGTGTTTTATGTGGGTTCTAGGGATTTGAACTTAGGTACTCTTGTTTATGCAGAAAGTGTTCTCTAATGTGCCATTTCCCCAATTCCTTAATTTTCATGTATCTTATTAACATTATCAACATCAGTCAGTCATTGTAGGCACCTCAAACTATATTGGTTCCTGAAGACCAGACCTAGATTTTAAGAATCTACTTTGAAAGCTAAAATTAGAAGGCACCTTCTGATTAGATCTCCATGGAATTCAATATTATGGACAATGTTACTATAAAATGATGCACTAATTCAATAATTATCCCTGAGCATAGGTTTATTTTATTCATTTTGTTAATCACATTTGAGGTCACATCGATATACACTCATATTTAGAGAGAAATATATCTTGTCTAGTAATCCTTAAGAATATGTGATGTGTAGAGAAAAGACCAAAAGAATCACTATTATAATTAAAAGTATGCCACTGTGCATGAGAAGCTATGAAAATAAGAAATTCCAAGGTATGTGAGTGACTTTTTTTTTTTATAGATCCACACCTTCTCTCTCTTATCCATGCACCAGCTCTAATGGATCCTACTACTCAGTAATAGGATAATAGGGGAAGGAGAGACATGAGTGATTATGCAAAAATTTAGTAATTGCTAAATCTTTTACTTTGTTTAAGTAGACTGACCATACAATACAAAGAAACAAGGCTAATTTCAGTGTTTGGGAAGGGAAAAAAGTGACAATAATTTAAATTCTGAAACTTGAAAATTGAACTGAGGTGAAAGAAAAATTATTGGGATTAAATAATTCACTCAGTAAGATTTTTATGCCAAATTGTCAATTACCATTAAAATCCATATATTTTAACCTTCAAATTTAATTAATTCATATATAGTCTCTGTGAGCAATACTCAGTAAGGTTGTCCCCTATTTCCTTAATAAATCTGATAATGCTGTGGGGGTCACCCAGGGAACTCAGACCTCAGTGATACAGTTTCTTGTTTTCATGATTGAAAGCACTTATGCACAGAAAGGAAAAAAAGCCAGCACACAGAACCTGTATGTAGAAAAATAAATGTTTAAGAAAATAAAGGCATATGCACTAGAGAATAATGTGGGTGTGTTATCTACTTTTTATTCATTGCTACGGCAAAATACATGACAGACAGAATTTAAAAGAAGGTTATATTATGGCTCTTAGTCGATCATGGCAAGAAGCCATGGCAGTTGGTCACAATGAGCCCAAAGAGAGATGAATACTGGAGCCCAGTTTACTTTCATCTTTGATCTTTCTATTCAGTCTGTATATTCATCACAACCCATAGGTTGTGACATCCACACTTCAAGTATATCACCCCTTCTCAGCAAAACATGGGAGCTTTTGTTCTAAGTGACTCTTTACTACAGTGAATTTGACAAATATCAGTCATCATATTACCATACAAAATTCAATAAACAGTTGTTAAGTGAATGGCAGGGCATGCTGTCCTATTTCACCGTGTAACACTGAATAAATTTGTAGCTAAATGTTTTTCTGTGTCCCAGCTGGAGTTGATTGGGACAAACCTCTCTCATCCGCCAGTCCTGCAGCCACTTGGACCCAAGTAAACACACAGAGACTTATATTACTTAAAAACAGTTTGGTCGCCGGGCGGTGGTGGCGCACGCCTTTAATCCCAGCACTCGGGAGGCAGAGCCAGGCGGATCTCTGTGAGTTCGAGGCCAGCCTGGGCTACCAAGTGAGCTCCAGGAAAGGCGCAAAGCTACACAGAGAAACCCTGTCTCGAAAAACCAAAAAAAAAAAAAAAACAGTTTGGTCATGGCAGGCTTCTTGCTCTCCAGTTATTATATCTTAAATTAACCCATTTCTATCTATCTATAAGTTGCCACATGGCCCGTGGCTGACCGGTATATTAACATCTGCTTCTCATGGCAGCGTCTGGCAGCATCTCCTCACTCAGCCTTCTTCTACCCACAATTTTTCTTGTCTCTTTATCCCACCTATACTTCCTGCCTGGCTACTGGCCAATCAGCATCTTATTTATCAATCAATCAGAGCAACACATTCACAGCATACAGCAATATCTACAGCATAAAGTTAAAATCACTGTAGAGAACATTAATCATGATGGCATTCTGATGGACACCAGAAAAATCTTCACAATGATTGTGAGAATGTTTACAATATTTTACCTTTCATTTTCATGTTCATTAACCTTCAAGATCAAATTCCATGCTCAAAAACAGCCATGAAACTAAAATTAAAAGATTCAAAATATTCCATATTAGGAAAGTATCATAGTTTTAACAATTAACAGCTTGTCTTGCCATTAAATTATGTTTCATTTAACAAATAAATATTATAATTAGTTATTTGATTGTGAATTCATCATAAGTATAAATAATACAACTGATAAATTGTAAATAGGTACAAAAATTTGATTTATACTGGTAAATACAATGAACAGATAACAATCAATATAATCTGTAATCAAATTCTGTTATCAGATGGACATTTTATTATAATAAAAGTTTAAACTTAAATTATATCTAGATCAAAGTGCTTTTCCAAATGAGGCATTCTACAGATGATTATAGTAAGATTTTAATCACCAGTTAAAACTCTGTCTTTCTTTGCTATATATGGCAACACAATTAAGGCTTGTTGCTATAAAATCACATTTTCAGTATAAGAGGCTGAAACTTGCAGGGTCAAGTATGGAGTATTTTTGTGACTCTAAAGCACATGCTGTGCAGTCTTAATAAAAAAATCAATATAATACATCACTCAAATGCTTAGTCTATGTGCTTTCGTTGTCATTGTCATGGAAAACATGCAAAATCTAAGTGTGTCTTCTCATTGGGTATTTAAGAATGGAGAGATTATATTAGGTACACTTACTTTCTAAAAATTCAAAATGACATGCACAACATCAAACATGGGCGTTATCTATGAAGACATTCTCAACCCCCAACCTAGAGCAGTGTGAGATGAAAAAGAATGTTAAAATAAAAACAAATTATAAAATAAATATCCTCAAGTCTATATACTAACACAAATAAATAACACTAAAGATACTTGGAAAAGCCATAGACACACACACTATTTTATAAACCTACTTAAAATGTGTGTGTGTGTGTTTATGTGTGTGTGTGTGTGTGTGTGTGTGTGTGTTTGTGTTTAATAGAGTTATGCCATACAAAATAATTATTCTCCTCTCAAGAACCATGAACTATCTAGTAAAAACCTCAGTTTCAGGTAAGGGAAACACCCCTTCCAGTTGTTGGTCCAAGGAATATAAAAGACTCCAAACCAATATGGGCTCTGTCATTGATTGCCCTTGGTTACTTCCCAGAACATGAAGGTAACCTCTGGCTCTTAAAATCTTTCTAGCCTCTCTTCAATGCTTTTCTCTAAGCCAGAAGAGTTCCGAGGCATATATATATATATATATATATATATATATATATATATATATATGCATATATATATATGCATGGCATGTCAAAATATATATATATATATATTTTGACATGCCATGGACCTCTGTAACAGTCTCCATGTGTTACAAAATGCCCACTGAGTGGGAGGAATTCATGTTTTATACCATAAATCTACCCATCTACCCATGACTGGAGAAATCATAGACACAAGAAAAGAGCCTACTACTGCCAATTTCTATACTAATATTATTTATAATTGTATTCTAAATATTTAGTATTTTTATTGGACTGTTTATTAAGCAACATGTAATTTTATAAGTTGAGATGAAAACAAAAAGGTCTTGCATGAATTTTCAGCTCATAGATATGTATTTACTTTCACTACAATCTTTCACTTAGTTTTTATTTAGAACTTTTCATACAGTATATTTTAATTATACTTCCCCTCCATTAACTCCTCCCAGATCTCAAAAAGAAGAAAATTAAAATTAAAACAAACAATTGAAAAAAAAATGAAACATTAAGACAAATATAACAAAGCAAAATGCAAAGGGTAGAAAGCAGACATGGAATTTAATTTGTGTTGTCTGGCTACTCCATAGCTCCAATCCTCATCAAATGACCTTTTTGAAATAAATGGAGACTATTACAGAGAGAGAGTCACAACACGTCAAGATGCAGAAAATCATTGAATAGGGGGTGTTTGACTACAATTGCTACATCTACAGTGGAATCCCTCCACCTAAGACTTTGTGAAAATGACTGAAGCGATGATGAAAGGAATTAAGAGACAGAGGGTCCAAATGTTTGTTGCTAGATAGTGTCTTTTTTTACACATGAAAGGGGAACTACACCTAGGAAATATCAAAAATATGGTTGCCTGAACAAGAATTACATAATGAGAACACTAATTTGTATGCCGGTGTGGACAGGGAAATTCCACAAAGTTCTTCACCTAGAGGAAGAGCTAAAGTTGGTCAACTGATGCTCAGAGTAGGAAAATCAGTATTCTTCAGGAAAGAGCGCCCACATATTTTGTCCAAACTCATGTGGTCCATGAATGTACTTGTGTATGTGCATGTGTATGTGTTTGTCTATTTGTATGTATTTGTGTATGTGCATGCATATACAAACATATATATGCATTAATATTAATTAATGAAGTCACACATTTGGGAGGGGAGCATGGAAGTAGCTAGAAGGGGTAAGGATGGCAGGGTTGATGTAGATTCAGTGCTCATGTATGAAGTTCTCAAAAAAAAAAAAAATAGCAGCAGGATGATAGAAGGAAAATGCTTACGAAGGTGGTATTTCTGGTTGATATCTGCCCTCTGTGCTCAAATTAGTTAATGCAGTCTGCTCTCTCTCTCTCTTTTCGGGTGTTTCACATGTTGTTTTCAACTGAGTTTTGTCTCCTAAGGGGAGGTTTCTAGATACATTTCTCTTGAAGGGCTACTGCCAGGTTTACACCCAGCTTTATCTGTAGCAGAGTAGATAACACCTTTGGGGAGGTGGAAAGTATTTGTCTCTCACTAAGGTGAGCTACACTTTTCCCATCTGGAAAGTAGCTGTGGGCAAAAGCCAGAGAATCATCATGTGCATTCAGATTAAAAGCCATGTAGGAAGGGCAGCTATGGAAGCATCTTTCCTTTGCATATCAAAGAGGCGCAATTACCAGCATTCTTTCAGCTCTAAAAAGAATTGAATTTGCCCATTATCTGAAATGAGGTGCAGCAATTGATAGCCTAAATGATAAATGGCTTTTATACAACTAGTAAAAACATGATGAGCATATTAAAACGCATTTATTATTATGGAGCAAAGGCAAATATGAGCCAGGTTTTCAATATCAAAGGGACTCAAGGAACATTGAGTTTTATAGGTATAACTTGTACAAAGTGTGTGCCCGTGTAGATATAAAATACTTGTAGGATATACTTGCTATTTTACAGTGAGGTTCTATAAAGTCTATACATTATTTCTAAACACCAACTAAGAAAGAGTAACTTAGAATATTTTGGAGGCCAAGGAGAGCTGGGTACCAAGGACTGAATTCATCTTTGCCCTGGGTCTAAATTGTTCTTGTCATAACAATGAGAAGTGGATAGCTAATAATATGTTTTCAAAGGGTAGCATTTTACAAAGTTTATAAATATCTCACTGAATTTTTACTCTAATCAGGCATTAGCTCCCTTCTCTTCTCCCCAGTGCCTGTTACTGGAAATCCTCATCAGCATTTGGATTTCCAGAAGCATTCTATCAACCAGCCTTGATATCTCTGTATTTCTATTCTACTGAAGACAATTATTTAGTTGTCTGTCATCTTTCAGTTTGAATCTAATATTTTCTAAAGAGGAAATAAGATAAAGGTAATAGTATATACATGTATGTATACATATATAAATAGAAAACATATAAGGACTGTTATTTTATGGTCTACCTAGCTCCCACTGTAACTCCACTTGTCTGTAGTAAACTATTGTTTGTTTTAGAACTGATCTCAGTCTTGGATTACTTCCTGAAAACTTTTATCATTATTTTTAATTCAATATGAAGATTCAGTGCTTCATATTCATACTCAATATGAAGTTCAATATGTACTAAGTAGTGTCCTACTTAGAAAAATGCAAATTGCAATATCTTTCTTTATATACATAAATATTAACATATGTTTACATACATGCATATATATCAAATGCTTATCTATTATATCTATGTGTATAAGTGCATATATACATATATATTAGGGAGTTACTGGGCCATATAACATGCAGAAAAAGAATAGGAAAGACTATGAAGACACAATAAGGAAAAAATGACTGTGACAATGTTTCTCTAGTGTTTTTATTTCTTTTTCTCTAGATTCAAAGTCTAAGTCAGTATATTTAGTATTTCACTATTGAAATATACCTGTTATAGCCAAGGAAACCTCACTCTAGAGTCTATGGTTGACAGAGGTCCTGAAAGCTTTTCTCATAACTTGCCCTCTGCTCTCAGATTTCATGGGCCTCTGAGCTTCTTGTCTGCTGTGTAATGTAGACACTGGACAGACAGAATAGACAGAATATAATCTATCTGTCTCTGTCTCTCTGTCTCTCTGTCTCTCTCTATCTCTATCTATCTATCTATCTATCTATCTATCTATCTATCTATCTATCTATCTATCTATCTATCATCTCCCCGCACTCTTGTTTTTTCTTGATCTGCTACTACCAATTTTTAAATATTCTACCTTTCTCATTTTTTATTTAATTATGTCACAAACCCTACCGCTCCTTCTAATCTGTCTTCTCCTCTCAAACTTCTGATCCCTAGCAAACTAATCTTTTTCTTTAGCTAATATTGTTGTGCATATGTGAATAAATATAAATGAATAGAAAAATCTAAGAATTAAATGATATCACACATCAAATGGACCCAACATATATCTACAGAATATGTGAACAACTAAGAATATACATTCTAATCTACAGCTCACAGAACCTTCCCCCTTTTGACACTGATTATTAGAGCTCTTGAGATTCCATCACCGACTATTCTAAATTTGGAATTGTTAAACTAGAATGGAATCTGCGCATTCTGGAACCCACCCACATCCTTGGTTCAAAGGCAGAAAACCGATGCCTAGCAAACATTTGGAATAGTTAGAAATAAAAACAAACATCCTAGTATCCAAGTCACCAGTATCTCAGTATGTTTCTTCTTGTCCAAATAGCTTTAAAAAAGATTTCTGCCCTGTTATATTACTAGTTTTTTTTTATCATTATAAAAGCACCAACTCGCCTGGTGGTTTTGGTCCATGTCTTTAATTCCAGCACTAAGGAAGCAGAGCCAGGCAGATCTTTGTGAGTTCGAAGCCAACCTGGTCTACAGAGAGAGATCCAGGAGAGGCACCAAAACTACACAGGGAAACCCTGTCTAGAAAAAAAAATGAATTCTATATGTGGTTAGAACATTTTGACAAAAAATAAAATGAATTTAATCAATATACTTTGGTGATGATTAAATTTTGTAGTAGGATATTAGCATCTTTCATATGACTGTCTTAGAATACATTATTATTTCTGCAAATATTTACATGTCATGAAAAATATTCATTCATTTTATAGTAACCAACCTTTATCAAAAGTTGGTCATATTGCTCTAAATCTGTATGTTATTTCAATGCTTTCCACAAAAAAAGTCAGTAATTTCAAACCAGAATGAGCAAATGAGGCTATTAAATTATAGAATACAATACAGAATAACTTAATATAAATTTTGCCATATATAAGTATATATACATATATATGAGAGAGCGCGTGAAAGAGAGAAATTGTAGTTGCACAAAAGCTGACATGATCATAAATAAGTGACACCAAACTAGAGCATAATTAGGCCAATTCCCACTACACTAAATAGTGTTGGCATGAATGAATCCTGTGCCATAAATGATAGCCTGCTTACTTCTCTTAGAAGTTAATAAAGTTCTATCTACCTAGCAAGAGAAGGCTGGTATGCCTTCCAGAGTTAACTGCTGCAGGTTCTGATTC